ACGAAAACTGGCTTTCTCAAACCCGAAGCACTGCTTAAGTCGTACTATTCTCCCCATCACATATTAAGACAGTTATCTGGGTCATCTTAAGTGTCTATACCATGATTTCCTTCTTCTTTTCCGAATAAAAAAATCAGCTGATCAGTTTGGATAAGCTTTTTTGTTGTAGTTTTTGCGTCAAAAAATAAACACATAAACGTCAACAGCCCAGAGCACAGTCAATGCCCAATATTTTGTATCCAGTGAATTGTCTCACAGAATCGTGTTATGAGTAGGCACATCATACAGACATCAAGCTCTACTATTTGTCGTTTACAGTTCACTACTCGTGCACAACCAAGAACAAATCCGAAGTCAGCGCCTTCTCCCAGTGTAGGTGGACGCAACTTATTTCTATCTCTCGTCATCGTATTGAAACAACTTCACCTTTCAATTTCTTTCCATCATGTTTGGCAGACCCAGGCTGTGCGCGAGCTTCCCAGAAAACAAATAGAAATTAGGAGCTTTCACATTTTCTCTTCATGGCTTATCTCTAGTCTTACAACATGTTTTTCACCTTCTTCATACAACCATCTAATAGGTTTGAGCCAGATTTGGCTTGCTGGGAATCGAAGGCTAGGTATTAACTTCTGTAACAAGTTCCTTAAGGTAGCCAGTGAAAAGCTGAGAAGTTGTTTGCCGTTTGCTGTAGTTGGAAGCAATCTTTTGAAAGAGGAAGGCGGGAAGAAGATTAGATATAGGTACGTTAAGTTGCATCGACGCACATTATAAGTATCTTCTTCGAACCTCTCCTTTTTTTTCCCAGAGAGTATCCATGGGGAGTTGTTGAAGTGGAAAACATGGCGCATAATGATTTTATCCCACTCCGTGATATGGTTGTTCGAACTAATTTGATTGATATGATCGATGTGACCAGATCTGTACATTATGAAAATTTCCGACTTCGTCAGATGGATAAGCTTCCTAAGCATGCTTTGGATAAGTAAGAAGACTCCACCGTGATCTTGTTTGTACCGTTTTCGGTCTCTCAATTGTACTTTTTAGGGATCCCTTCACTCAAATGGAAGAAGACCGCAGGAAGAAAGAGAACGAATTGGCCGAGAAGAAAAAGAGTTTTGAAAAGGTAAGCTTTTACGTTGCTCCATTCCTTTATTTTTACTCATAAGAAAATATTTCAGACCTTTGCTGAGCGTGTGAATGACAGGGAAATCAAAATTAACGAGAGGATTGCCAGGGTAAGAGCAATAATCGAAACTTTCAAAATTTCTTTATACAAACGAATATCGAATACTCGTTCATAATAAAAATATCCAAACGAATGAATAATATCGGATCTCCATCTGGAATAGTTCAAATTCGAATTCGCTTAATGGAGATCTTGAATATACGACTGCTCAAATCAGCGAATTAGGAAGATCGAATATTCGAATATTTTCCTTATTTGAATGTGCAAATATCGAATTTCTCGAACAATTCATTTGAACATAAGTAATTGACCTCAACCACACCCCATGATTTCGCAGATATAACGATCGAATTAATGTGATTCTCAGTTTTGAAACTATATCTCGAATAAGCGAACGTCGATTTTCGAAGTATTCCACTTCCGAACACTCAAATAAATGTATCTTTTCGAATACATAACTATCCAAAATGGTCGAGTATTCGACTATTCAAAGTTCGAATTTCATTAATATAGTCCCAAATAAGAACTGTTTTTGTGCATTCGCATTTAAGATTATTTTACATGTT